ACACCGACAGACATGTTACGCGCCTTGTGCCTCCTAGCCGTTGTGGCGGCAGCACGCGCCTGCAAACCCTGCAGTGAGTGTACCGGCCCTTTACAACGACGTTGTACGGGCCCACTTTTATTATATTCGTGTTCGGTGACGTGAAAATGCGCGGGAAATATTGTGTCAGCTGTCAGCGCAGTCACGGTTGCGTTGGGAATTATCGCATGTGATATAATTTTTTTCTCTATTTTTTATCTATTTAAAAAAACTAGGTAAGTAATTCTAGAAAAGCTTACTTCCTTATTTAAAAAACATACATGATTTTTATTAATTAAATTTATGAAGGAGTTAGTTGATTTAAATAAATTTCTAAGTTTGCATTTGCTTTCATAACTGCATGTACTTTAAAATTTATTTTCTAACCCGACATTAGATGTTGTTCTTATTTCTGTCGTGGAATTCATATATCCGTTTGGACCGAAAACTTTCAAGTTTTAATTTCTAATAACACTCAATTCGAGTGAATCTCGGTGTCAGTTCCTACTATTATGTAATAAAACATGCGTTAAATAAGTTTTGAGTGTTTTAGAGAGTCTACGCGTTTACGGCATTGCAAATGTCACTTTGGACTCGAATAGCTTGAATGAACGCAACTTCAATTTACATAAAAACTTTTATTATAATATTACCTAGTAATGAAAAGTGTATATGTGGTAATCAAGTCATTTTGAATATTCACATCATATGCGAGATGGTATCTATTTATATTCATTGGAATATTTTTGATTAAAACATCAAAACCTTTACAAGTGTTCCTTTTTTAAAATTAATTAACACTTAAAAGAGGTTCAAACATTCATTTTAAAAACTCAACATGTCTCATTAACTAATTTTAGGGCGTATCACACGATATAACGAGATCCGATTTTAAATACATTTATTATTGCATTTTATTGCAAAGTGCTCGAATATCGGTGTACTTAGCGATGTCGAGGCATTATTCTCAAATATTCCACCGAGTCAAACAGCGGGGGAGCAATTATGGGCTCAAATTTATTTGGTATAGTTATTATTTCGCACTTCGCGTAATATCCGAAGGATAACAGTTTAATCCTTATCAGAATGTCAGTGGGACACGAGGAACTGTAAAATCGTTTTTTTTAATTCACTTTATAGATTTTTTTGAATTCTTTCGAGCTTCGTCTTTGATGTCGTTCTCTTGGCGATATGATAAGTAAAAAGTCGTTCAATATGTTTGTTTTACATCATTTATGTATTATATTTTCGAGGGGATCTTTATAAATTTAAATATATTTTTTACAATGCCGAAAGCTGCCGATTGATTTTATTTCTAAACGTTCGGAGTGATTTATATGCAACTAATCGCGTTGTGATATATAACACCTAATTGACACTTATAACTTTTTGTTACTTTCCTAGAAATAAAAAAATATTCCTTTGCATTATAACAGTAGATACTCGTAATTAAACAAATTTTTTTGCGATGTGATTCGAAAAAAAAATACTCTCGAAGAATTCCGATGAGCTCGTTACCTATATCTTTAAATGTGTAAGTTTATATTCTTATGTATCTTTTAACGTAGTGACTTCATTGAGAAATCAGATAAAGTTTATAAAATCATTTAATTGTTAATAGGTTATAAATTTCGTTATTTTTTAATGTTGTATTAATTACATTGTTGATTAATTCATTACTTATTACAATTTTAATGACGATTTAAAAGTTTATTTTTAAGTATTTTGGACAAAATTAACCGAACATCTTAGAAAAAGAATCTTCCAACATTTAATTTTGTTAACAATTATATTGACTATGATTTAATTCATCCGTATTTCTAATTATTGTTGTGATTCAATTATAAAATTTATACGTTTCTGATTAGAAAACTATATGGGTCGAATGAGAAATGATCAGAAAGATAATTTTGAGCCGCGACAGAACAGTGTTCGGAACTCACTATTAATTCAATATACTCGAGCAATCTTAGTTCAAATCCTGGTGCCAGCACCAACGAAATTATTACTATACGTGCTAACGTATCACGTGCGCAACGTTGAAGGAAAACTACAAATTTCGAAATAATAACAACACATTTTGAAGATGTGGCTGATAAGTCTGCCAATCCGCAATAGGCTCGTGTGTTATACTATGCCCTAATGCCCTCGGTTTTGCCCATCAGTTAGACATATAGGCTATTACTTTACTTTTGTTGTATTAAATCACATTTACATAGTTTGCTTCGGTGATTTCAAGAACTTTTAAAATTAGAACATTAATAGTGAAAGTTATGTAGAATGTAGAAAAAGTGTTTATTTTGTTATTATTATGCTAAGTTGCATCGAAATAAAACAACGCTTTAAACTTTTATGTGTTGCTGCCACAGACATGATGATAACGGATGAGTTTTATAGCAATAAATTTTATTGTCTGTAAAAATGTTTTAACTCGTTCACTTATTACCAACGATACTTTTTTACATAATATCGTCCATTGATTTAAGGGTTGCCATTTAATTTTGTCTTTCATAGTTAAGATCTGATAATTTTGGATTTATATTTCCAACCGATAATAGTTATGTGTTTTATAGTTTAATGATATAATTAGGTATTTAACTGATTAAATATTAGAAGTGTGATTTTTTCTTTTTATTTTCTTTTTATTTTCTTCTACAATAAATTTTGCTTGAAGCTGATGTCGATAACTTGAGTGGAGGTTTTCTTGGTATCGATAACTACGTAAACATCATCCAGATATTTTAAGTATTTATAGTGCATGTTTAAATATATGTAACTCAAGTTGTAATGTTATAAATAAGTTTACGTCAGGGCGAATATTAAAAACAGTTTTATCGTACGCTTCCACCCACATCATCGTATCGAGAAGGGATAACTGTTTGTGCCAAATTGTATGGCGCTAAATTATGACGCTGATTTTCTCTCTATAATGTCATGCTCCTTTGTGTTTGCGAAGATTTAAATGAGCGATAATATTGAGGCGATTTTATTTGCCCCGCAATTGCATTGAGGGTTGTTGAAAACATTGTAAATTTTTTGTACGAACGAAATTCGAAACCGCTTTTTAAACTCGTGAACATTTAATTTGCAATAACCAAAAGCCTATACGTAAGTTTACGACGCAATCTTCCGACGTCCGGTTGCTTTACAAAACTGAAGTAAATGCGCGAGAAAATATAATGCACATAGATTAGTCGGTTTTAGTTGACACGAGTAAAACAAAACTTCTTAATATGGCTGCCATAATAGAACGATGGGTACTTAGCGCTTTTCAATTGAGAAGTCTTTTCCATTTCTTTTTCAAAAAATAAAGAAAGATGTGCTTTTATTGTCAACGTTTCCGAATGACCTCAAAAAGGACTTGAGATCATTTGGAAACGCTGAACATTGGAAATGTCGTTAATACGTCCGAAAGTTTAATAATAGCTTAATTAAAAACCGATAAATTTGTAAACAGAATTTTATACTAGTAAGACGTTTTCAGGATATTTTAAAAGATTTTTTCTAAAATTATAAGATTATAAAATTTCGTTTACACATCCAAAGTTCTAATTAAAGCACTTGTCACAATATCTAATTAAAATATCTGGTTACAAGTGACTCATGAAATTATCGAACGATGACAGCTTGACCCAGTTCTAAGCGACAGTTGGGCGTTGTACTAACGTGCAAAACATTTCATAAACTACCAGGACGCCATAAATTTTCGAGGTCTTATAGCGTCCAAGTCGTAAATTAAAATGACGTGAGTGAGTGTGGAAGGGTGTAAGATATTTTCAAGTACCTTACAATTAGCTGACAATATTTATTGTTATTTATTAATTATGTTAAATGAAATGTGTACATGATGTACCTATACATAATGCGAGTATGTACCTATGTCGTAAAAATTTCGTTGTTCGATGTTTTTGGTTGAAATGGTTGCAAGCGCGCAGGTGATTAAACCTGATGTTGAGTGTTGGATATCTACAAGGACATCTACAAAACCATGAGGTTATTGTAGATGTCCATGCGTTGCTAACCTTTTAAACTGTTGGCTCCGTATGCTGCACTCGCCAGACGAAACGCAGAAGCTGTTATGACGCCCTGGTACTTCTTGGCCGAGCTTTATCCGTGCAACAGTAAAAGCTGCCCCGTGCCCCTACAATCGATTTTATTTTGTTATCTAGTGATTTTTTTATTAATTACGTGTTTATTCAACGAAATCATTTAAGTTCAAGTCATCGACAAACTGCGACTACGAAGCTTTAAAAATACTACTGCCAGTATGTACCAGTAGCAATACAAATTTTAAGTATCTAGCTCGTTTACTACGTTTAAATAATTAAACATTTGGTAAGATGGGGCGACTGCGCCTTGTCGAGCCCTCCAAACGGAAATAGTGTTTCCCAACCGGATGGTGTCTCAGGGGTCGCGAAAGATTACGGTGCAGGTCTTAATTGCCCAGTAAAGCCCCCTGGAGGAGGTCGTTAGCCTACAGTGGTCTTTGTCGTGGGTAAAGCCCTCTGAGCAGAGGGCGATTAATGGACCTCTTATTTTATTAATGGGCTCAGATAGCTCGGTCTTTCGGTTAAAAAGAAAAAGAATAAAATGCTTACATCACAAACACAGCGACGAACCGATTAGCGTATTGGATAGGCAACCGCTCTCTTGCGCCAGAGGTTGTGGGTTCGATCCCCATTGCTGGTAAAATGTTGTGTGATGAACACAGTGTTTTTCTACTGTCCGGATGTCAATATGTATTTATTTACAAAAGAAAAGTATTCGTAAGTACGTTTATCTGTTACTGTTGTAACGTCTGTCTGTACGTTTACAGCACCCATAGCACAAGCTCCACTCTGTTTGGGACTAGATAGCGTTGTGTAATATCCTTACCAGTCCTGGAACACCACGAAAGGGTACCGACTTACATTTCATATCGTCGAGCTCGTATTGCCGGTGCACTAGACCTGTCTTCTATTATCCAAAGTCAATGTTCCAGCATGCGGGGTGGCACGTGGCGCGAGGGTGGTCGGCGGTCGGGCGGTCTCCCCGGGCGAGTTGCCGTGGCTGGCGGCCTTGAAGAGGGACGGCAAAGTCATATGCGGCGCTACGGTCGTCTCCAGAGACCACCTCATCACAGCTACCCATTGCATATTCGAGTGAGTTGTTTCTAAACCTTTTTTCTCGTGGGAAAAATCCTTTATGGATCCCCTGCCACTGGATCGGGGGAGTGGCAAGGGTATGTGGCAGTCCCGGAGACGGGTATGTACCAGAATTTACCTAATTAAACGGTTTTATTTAGCTCTACCCGTAAGGAATTTGTTTATTTATTTGGGTCAAAATTAGAAATTGAAATTTAAGCACCAACCAGCCGTCCATCTTCTCATCCGAAATTTGGTACACACATTTAATTTAGATGACAATACAATATTGTAGTTTTCTGTGCACATAAAATAAAACCGTTTAACTTTAAAGTTTTTAAACGGTTTTATTTTTCATCTTTTTTTATTTTTCTGAAATTTCCCTTTATTTGTGCTGTACTCGTAAGACCTTTCTTTTAAACCCGATGCTCACCCATACAATATCCAAAAAAACCTGATAATTTACTTCTGCTCAGTAGCTGTAATTCAAAGTTTTCTTGTAATTTTATATACATATAACTATATATCATTAAGACATATATTATATGTTTCGTCTAAAACCAGTGCTATGGTTATGACATGAAACGCGCACTATTAATTCGCATGCACACCGGCAGCGAAGGACAATAAAGGGAAGTAATAAGAAACTTTCCCACGCTAAAAAAATCATCAACGCATTTCCCGCTTTTCCTCTCGTGAAATTTCTTATTACGTATTTACGTTTACAACTCGATGGCCGGCGCGCCGGTGACATAATTTACATTAAAGATTGCCCGCCGCACTAACACACGAATTAGTGATAGTTACTTTGCAAACGACAGAATGTTAATGTCAGCAAACTACACGTCACAAAAAAAAGAATGTTAATGGAATTAAATGCCTTAGGAAAATTAGCAGTTACAGAGACCAATAAAGCCCCAACGCCTAGTTCACGGGAAATGCAATATGCCAAGAAGGTTATTTGAGTAATTTAAAAAAAAAATTACAAAAAAGAGGATACCTACGGAGTTTCTTTCGTCTGTTTCTTCTCCGTTAGAGGAACCCATTTCGAAACGGTAGTAGATTTAAAAACTGACTATCGATAAATGAAATGTATATTTCTTATTTCGATGAATAAAATATTTTTTTTTTATTTTATAAAATATGCACAAAACTGTCGCAAAATTTTTACCGTAGCTAGGATTCTATCCTTATTGATTACGAGTCTAGACTATCTAGCCAGTAAACGTTTTTCGTTATTTGCCATTAGTCAAATAAACCGTTAATTTCCTCAAGGTCACTACAGTAACCTGATTTGAGGTCTGAAACAGTCTGAGAAATATACCTGATTATATGCCGTAGCAGGTTTATTTATCCATCGCTTAGCCGTCAATAAACATAATAAGCTAATGTCTGCTGGTTCTTTACCATTTCATAATTTAATCAGCTTATGCGGTTTTATGGCACCTATCGTAATTAAATTCAAACTTCAATTTGTTAAATAAAAAAGAAAATAAAAACATGTATTGGTGTAACATCAGCTGTCTACATATTGTCATATACTCATTCGAATCATGGGACAGACTGACCATCGATATCCGCTTCATGACAGCATGCAATTCGTCACGGATAAAGTCTTCATCGTCGCCGCCACAGATTCAAAACGTGCAATTCCATCATCGGACAACTAGACGTTCGGGGGGACTCCCCCTTATGCTGTCGACGTCATGTATCATCCGTACAGCTAAGGAATGCATCAACCAGCCGTCCATCTTCTCATCCGATTATAACGTACACATCGTAACATTTGAGGATTGCCCTCGATTTCTCTGGTGTGCCATCATCAGATCCGGGTTTCCTTATCATTGTACCACCCTTTGATATCTCCTATACAACAAAAAACGAATCATCAAAAACGATTCACAAACGACGAAGTTACCCGTGAACACACATAAAAAAATGTATACGGACGAATTAAATTACCAGAAATCTCCTTCTTTTTTGAAGTCGATTAAAAAACGCTGACCTGTTTCGAATAAAAAGAAAAAAAAAAGATTCGGAAGTGCAAAATTTGTCAACGGCGAAGGCGTAGTGTCAACATACGTCAAATGGATAAATATTGCGAGTGGCGACATTAAATTTCACTTGCTTTCGCTTTCGAGTCAACGCGAACTAATTAAGAGGAATGGTTGACGGATTGGCCGGCTGCTCGTTACCGTCTTATCGCCACGATGACCGTGTTATAGGCCGCTCTCTTTTGGCGACAGCCTTGTCGTATAAGCTCACCGTTTCGATATCTGGTGACGTAGATCGTACTGGGTACTGCTCACGCTTTACCCCTGGAGATTTGAATATTTATCGATCATAATATAACATAATGACATGATACCAAGGACAGATAATATAACATCAAGACGGTTTCGAACCGTTGACCGACTAAGTTACACAATGGTCCAAACGCAAAATTGTGCGTTCGTTAATATTTTCATACACCATTTTTCCGTTTCATCCACCTATTTAAAAGAATGTAAAAATTATAATTTCTTTTGAGGGATGTGAAATCTGTCTTAATGACAAATTAGTGTTTCCCATTAAAATCACAATGTACACCGATTTAATTTCAGCCTCGTTTCACTTTAGATATATTTCCATCGAAATACAACTCTTAATTTTTACGCCCTAATTAAACTAATTGTCACTTTGACTTTTTCCTCAGAAAATTCTCGCGCCGATTTTACCGCTGACCCGAATGAGGCGAACGCCAAAAAAACAAAGATAAATCGGCTCTCGTATACCCATTCAACTTCCCAATTTAAATCTTCCTTTTTTATCTTTAATTTGTCAAGCGACACGATTCCGATTCCAAATCTCCATACGTTAAAATGTAACCGTACCGTCGGTATCTTAATATCTCTTACACTCTGATCTACTTACTTACTTTTAAAATACCGGACCAATATGGCGGACCTGCATTTTTGCACTCAAACTGGCCGATGAGAAAAAACAAAGTTTAAATTTTGAATCGATTCGATATTCTTGTTTACAGAGTACGCATAACCTACTTCGGGGAGGTGGTAATGGTAATGAAACAGATTTTAAAAGTCGGCGAATGTTGTCAAATACGAGAAACTAACATACGGTTATGTAATGTCGCATTATAATTAAAAACCCGCGATTATCGGTTATTGGTAGTTAGTCGACAATTGACCTAATGTTACCGGTCTGGTCTTAAGACGCACGATTAAAGCTCTTGTTTGTATAACTTTTTTGTTTATATATAATTGGCTGCTTAATTACGTTTAAGCTCTTTGTGACTTGAGCATTTATAATTATCGGTATTGTTACGTGACGATTATTACTACATATTGTACATGTAGGGTTGAAAGAACAAAAGTATTTTGATCATGTTTTTACTTACTATGGCCTGATTGCTCATTGTTCGGGCGCTCGCTTTTAATTCACATACTCGAGCAACGTGAGTTCGATGCTTGGTGCCGGCACTAATGAAATTGTTAATTTTAAGTGCTGACTTATCTCATGCTCAGCGGTGAAAGAAAACATCGTGAGGAAATCTGCATATTTTCGAAATAATAATAAAAATATATATTTCGAATATAAGTAAAGTCCGCTATTCCGCAGTGGGGCGCGTGGTGGACTATTCCCTAATACCCTCTGAACAGAGGCGGCCTTTGCCCAGCAGTGGGACATATATAGGCTGTTAAACATTACATTACATTTAACTCACTTCGTAAAAAGTTCATCAGGTAATCCCCTAGCTGAATTGCCTCCTTTATTTAAAAAAAATGTCTACTGCTGAAGGTAGTTATTTTTTTTTATTCAACTTACGTATTAACTCATTAAGACGTGGACATGTTTACAGTGTCTTAAAATTGCTATATTTGGCTGTTAAAAAGTTAGAAATGTTTTTGAGGCTATTTCGTACACGGATAACAAAGAAAGATATTCTTTTTCCGATAGTGGAAAGTCAATAAAGTTATTAGGTCAATAACGGCTTCTACGACAAGTGATCATAATTTTAAAGTCCGGTAAAGGGAACAGCTACCCTCCATGGCTCACGTCATTTTCCGCGTAAAATAATTAAAAACAAAACGATACGTTTATGATGCGTACGAAATAACACCGCACAATCTAGGTCGACCCACGATCGGAAGAAATTCAAGCGTGCACATAAAAATTTTAAATCGCAAATAAGCGAAATTAAAATCATATTTAAAAGTCGTTATATTTTTAACGGTTTTTAAAAAACGCGGTGTTATGTGAATGTCGCGCAATAACGTTGGCTTCCAAGTAAATATCTTATTAAGCCGTCGACGCTTTGAAAGTTGTTCCCGGTTCTGCTTTGGCCGCCGTTTCCTGGACCGATATTGTGTGTCGAAATCATTATTTTATTGTAACGATTTGTTAATATGAAGCTGCGAGTTCGGCTTAGCGCTCCGAAAGCGACATTAAAGCGCTGTAAATTATCCGAAAATTAGCGGTTAACGTCGGGATTATAGCGAACTTTTTTATAAGTATAATACGACACTGTTTATTTTCTGGATCAAGGCTATACTCTGTGGTTTTATTATGTTGCGTAGCATTTCCCGCCAAGGTATAATCAGTTTTACAACAATAGTTACACGGTGTACGTTCATTTAATGTGTGGAATTGTAGAATAGATAAAATATGTAATAAGGTGATCGACTTTTAAGTTCATCGTATTTGAACAACATGTTTTGACATCCCAATAGAAGTGAAATAGGCGTAAGATGCCTAAGTATACCTTTTTCTTCCTTATATAGGTTCTCAATTCAAATGTATTCTTTTATGTTTGTTACCTCATAACTTTTGACTAACTGAATCGATTTTGATGATTCTTTTTTCATTTGATAGCTGGTGCTGGTGCAGATGGGAATATGATCCCATATTAATTTCATTGGCATTGGACCTTGGACTCCGGAGATACTTAGGGAATTACTGAAAATCATATTACATTAATTTTATAATTAATTAATTACAAAATAAATACAGAGCGAGAT